ACCATAGTCTGACATGTTCGTCAAGTAGATAGATAATGTCCCAAACTAAATAGTACTAGAAAAAGGACTATCCCAAAAAATTTGATTCAAAGTCTTAAAACATTCACAACCGAAGGCACAAGGAATATTTGCACTAAATGTTTTTGAAGAATGTCACCTGTAAGAATTGCCTTATAGATTAACTTCTAGATAAACAATGGAGTTTTGTATATTATTAGGTTTTCAAAGAAAACTTCAAATCTCTTCATTAATAAGAGAACTAGCCTTAATATCTTGAAAAAGTTAAGAATAGCCCAAATGAATAGAATACATACCTTCTCCCGCATGATCTCATTAGAGTTTTTAGAAAAAGAAACTTAAGTCTTTAGATTTGGCAGAATTAACATTATACAAAGATTTTAAACACTATATGATGTTGTTGAGCAATTAAGGCAGACATTTATCGATATAAATTATGTGAGACAGAGATCAATTTCTCATCAGCACCTATCAATAAAGGGTTTTTTTTTTTAAATGAGATATGCAAGCTTAGAAATCCCTTTCCAAAACCAAGAAGCAATATGATGAAGTTTAATGGAGTAACCGTCCGTTTGATCAAGATACTAGTAAATGCTATGCTATTTATTTTATTATTTATGCTTTTTTTTTTTTGGCCAAAGGTGGATATTTATTTATGCTTCCGTGAAAGGAGAGTCCATAGGCGCATGGCTGTCTGCAATCCACACTACGAGATGGAGCGCGTGGGAGACCAAGTCTTCTATTGTTTATTGAAGTTTCCTAAAAAAATTATACGTTGACTTTAGAATCCAAACCCCCCGGGCCCCCGCCCCAAATAATTACTAACGGCAATTTTTTAATAGATAAATGATTTAAATGAATAAATTATTTTAAAATTTTAGATAAGGATTATTATAGATAATAAGCTTATTTATTATATAAATTATTTTTTACTTTTAAAAATAATTTAATATAATAATTTTTATTAATAAAAGTTAACTTTAATTGTTAATTAAATAAAAAATAACATAAAAAGATTTTAAAAATGATTAAAAATTATCAAAAAATTATAATAAATAATTCAAAAGTGACAGAAAAAGGTCAAAGAAATTACAAACTAAGACCAAAATTTTTTTTCATAATTTTCTGTGACTTTTGGGTTCTTTTTTTTGTAATTAACTAACAATTAAAATTAAATTTTATTAATAATAGAGCTCAAATTATATTGTTTTCATAAGTTGAGGAAATAATTTACACAATAAATGAGTTCAAGATCTACGGTAGTAATGTACTCATTTATTCTTTTTTTAATTATATTTGACTCTATCGAAGATTTATTATTAATAAAAAATTTTATTTTTATACATTAGAATACTCCCTCTGATTTTATTTATAAATTATTTTTACCAACCTTATTAATACGAATATAATAAAAGTATAAAAAATAAAGGTAAGTAAAAATTCAAACATAACCCTCAAGTAAAAAGTAAAAAGTAAGTTAATTATATAATATTATTTTTTTTGTCTTTCTTTTTCTTACTTTTTAAGGATAATTTAAAAATTTTAATTTAAAATAAAATAATCTCATTAATAAATGATTTATAAAATAAATCAAATTATATTTTTACAAAGTGACTTGTATATTGAATTGAGAGAGTAGTTTTTTTATTGGGACAAATATATATTAAAATAGTTTAAATCCTTACATTTATTGGAACCACCGCTCGCTTACTCATTCTCACCATTTGAGTCATCCTTGTTAATTATTTTAAAAAATTCAAATGTTCATATAACATTATAAATTTGGAAAAAATATAACATTATAATTTTAGATTACTTCATACAAAGTAATTACAATTAATTAATTTTATATCGAAAAAGTAAAAATTAGATATAAGGGTTATCTTATTTTAATGAAAAAAGGCATGGCAGAAAAAGTCAAGTATGGGTTTCCAAAAATGTATTCAGTATAATTAAAGTCAACAAAAAAGCTAGCTTAAAGGACAATTGATTTTAGAAAATGAATGTGACCAATGAACAATGTTACTATTAAAAATTGAAACCAAACTCTACCTCACTAAAATTACTCCTCATACTTTATTCAACAATATTTTATTATAATATTAAAAATAAAAAATAATAAGGATTGTTGGAGAAAATTTATATCAATTAATAAATTGTTATTTTCAAAATTCAAATAGGAAACAAATTTGATTGAACTATTATTAATTTAGAATAATTTTTATTAACACTCAAATGAATATTTATTAATAAAAAATTAATTTAAATTAATAAATATTCATTTAAATTTTTTATTAGTATAAATTTTTTTCAACAATTTTTAATTGATATTTTTTCTATTAAAAATTAAATTAACTTACTTAATTGAACTAATAAATATTTTAATTAATTTAATAAAATATTTTATTCATAAGTTATGATTGATTTTATTATAGTTTGATTGTAATTTTAACAACTAACTTTTGAATTAATATCTTAGTCATGTCACAATCAATTAAGTTTTTAATATCTTATATTACCCCCTGGTTGTTGGCGCCTTGGCGGTGGTGTTGGTGCAGATTTTTCTAATTTGACTCAATTATTATGTAGCACTCACAGGAACCGGCGCGTGCATCGTTAATGTGGGCTCTGTCGCGGTCCCACAAGGCCACTAGTGGAGTGCCTCTCCGTCTTGGTCATCACGAGCTCGCGACCAGGTTTTAACTTGTATAAAAAGACCTTTGACCACAGAGATTCAGCGCACAAAATAAGATAAATCCATTGAACTCTTTAGGTGCGGCGAGATTAATAGCGAGGGACCCATCTCAACGAGGCCACTCGAGCGCCCTCTCACGCTGTTCCTCTCCCTCCTTCCACCACCTTCTTTTACTTTCTGACCTGAGCTCAGACGCTTCAAGAAGCTTTATCTTTTGGAACTTAAAAGGCAAAGAAGCTGGAAAGCAAGAGCTCCTTATATTGTAAAGTTCTGAATGGATTTGCTATTGTCGCTGTCCTCAGGTACACATTGCCCTCCCTCCTCTCTTTCTCTCCCTCTCTAAACTTTTCAGTTTCTGTCACTGAAATTTGGACATTTGTTCAAAAGGGTATTTTCCGAAGTGCTTTCAGCTGAAGATTTTGACTTTTGAGTGATTTATTTCAGATTTATTCTTTTGATAATAAGTTGTCTGACTCGTCTATTTTCCACACATGACCAATGCGAATGAGTTTTCCATCCTCCAAGCCTTAACAATTTTATATATCGTTTTTTTTTTTTGGTTGGACTGGAATTTAATTCAGCGTTTTAATTTTTTGTTTGGAAGTCATACTTTGAAACGATAATTTGATTTCGTTTAATTTCAATCGGTTTTGCTCAATACTGTTCTCTGCATGTAATAAAGAGATTCAACGGTGAAAACATTCAACGTTTGATTGCGGCTGATTGGTGGCTATGACTGAGTCTACATGAAAGGCACTCTCCTGAATCCTCTTTGAATTCAGCCTTAAGATTTTCTCTGCTTCAAAAGCAGTTAAAGCTTACAACAAGTTGCAAGGACATAATTGGAATGTGAGGCTTTGGCGCAAGCATATAGGATCTGAAGTTTAAGTGGTGCCAATTATTTTGTCAGCTGAAATGGATCGAAATGGGGGAGAGAGTTGGAGGGAAGTGATGAAGAAGATGCTTCCTCCTGGAGCTTCTCTGCCTGATGAAGCTTCTGATCTTGACTACTCCATAGCCATAGAATATCAGGGTCCACCAGTTTCATTTGAAGTGCCAACAGTTGATCCTCTTGATATGAATTCTCGAGGAGTTCCACTTTCTGGATCACAATCTATTTCTCGTGTGAGGCCTCAGGTGATTGAGCCAATTCCTCTGCCAGTGTCTCGTATTGCCGGTGTTACAGGTTCTCCTAATCAAAGTCCTAGGATGTCAGGAAGTTCAGAATCTGCGGTGTCTGTCTTGCAAAATCCTGACTTTTCTTCAGCGTCAGCCTCACCTGGTTCAGCTCATAATCCTCCTAGGCAAGTGATAAACGAATCAAAGAGGGCGCATGTTGTCACTTTTAATACTGTTGATAGATCTCAAAGGAAGGAAGCTGAAGTTATGGAGCCAGTTTATCCAGAATATGTGTGGGTTTCAAAGGAAAGGAAGAAAAAGAAATTCAGAGTTTGTTATAGATGTGGAAAAGGGAAGTGGGAAACTAAGGAATCTTGCCTAGTTTGTGATGCCAAGTATTGTAGCATTTGTGTTCTCAGGGCCATGGGATCAATGCCAGAAGGACGCAAATGTGTAACTTGCATTGGTCAGCCTATTGATGAATCAAAGCGTATGAAATTAGGTAAACATTCAAGAGTATTATCTCGACTTCTTGTTCCTCTAGAAGTTAAGCAAATTATGAGAGCAGAGAAAGAATGCTCTGCCAATCAGCTTAGGCCAGAGCAGCTGATGGTTAATGGATTCCCACTGAAGCCCGAGGAGATGGCAGAATTACTTGGGTGTCCCTTACCTCCACGGAAGCTGAAGCCTGGTAGATATTGGTATGACAAAGAATCTGGTCTCTGGGGAAAGGTGATGATGGGTCAATATGGTTCAACAATATTATTCCATTTGTTATCGAAGAACAGTGGTTTTAATGCATTCTTATATTTAATTAACAGGAAGGGGAAAAACCTGACAAGATAATAAGTTCAAACTTGAACTTCACCGGGAAACTTAGCGCTGATGCTAGTAATGGAAACACACAAGTTTACATCAATGGTCGAGAGATTACAAAGCTTGAATTGAGGATACTGAAGGTAAGCAGGTCCCTTTCTTTAAATTTATTTGTGTTTACTATATCAGCTGTAACTAGTTGGATTATGCAGTCCAACTTATGGTACACTTATTAGGAGTTGAGGTGAAAGGGGTGAAAATTAACATGTTCAAACACTCTGAACTTTCACCCGCTTTCCCTTCATTTGCACCTTTACCAAGTGAGTCCTTGGGGGAAAACGTCCAAATAGCCCAATATGCAAACTTCAGGCTGAAGCTGTTTTCTACAGCCCAAAGACATCTCTAATTTTGGATGATCCTTAGAATTTTTCATGAACTTCTCCAATCAGTGATTGACTGCTGGATGATAGGCAGTATTGATGAAAAGCCTGCTTAATTGGATTTAGTCATGTAATCATAAGAATAACATTGTTTTTTGAACTTTCAGCTGGCAAATGTACAGTGTCCACGTGATACCCACTTTTGGGTTTATGATGATGGTCGTTATGAGGAAGAAGGTCAGAATAATATCAGAGGAAACATTTGGGAGAAGGTATTTACTTCAATCTCGTGCCAGGGACTTCGAAATCTTGAGGTTCTGGAACACTAATGAATTATCATTTTGGCCTTTTCCTACACAGGCTTCAACAAGATTTGTTTGTACCCTGCTCTCTTTACCCTTTCCCCATGGAAAGCCTCATGAACCAAGAGATGAGATCAATAATTATTCTACAGTTCCAAAACATCTAGAACAGAAAAAAGTTCCAAAGCTTCTTCTTCTTGGACTTCAAGGATCAGGAACTAGCACTATCTTTAAGCAGGTATGGCTTAGAAATGTTTCAGATGGCTGGTACTGAGGTCACCAATTATGTAAGCACTTGATATGTTTCACTGAATCTGAAGAGTAACTGATGCAGACGAATGAGAGCATAGTTTATTTTATCCTTTCCTTAGTTTCTTTCAAAATTGGGAGGTTTGAGGGTTGGAGTTGACATCCAACTGACTAGAAATCATGGCCACTTATAAAACCGCACTTCATTTATACCAATGATATTAAATTGATCTCCCTATCTGGTCTTAATTTAGGCAAATGGTAGAGCAATGCATTTTTAGGGGTTTGGAAAAGCATGATGAACATGAGAACAGCATGAAATAGTGGAAGAAACTAAACAGTCCTTTTTTTCCCTTGAAAAAAGAAATTTGCTTTTCAGATATCTTTTTTTCTTTCCTCTATGACACTCAATTTTTGAGTTCCTGAGCAGGCCAAATTCTTGTATGGGAGCAGATTTACTGAAGAAGAGCTACAGGATGTCAAACTGATGATCCAGAGTAATATGTACAAATATCTTAGCATTTTGCTTGATGGAAGAGAGCGCTTTGAGGAGGAGGCTCTTTCTGAAATGAATGCACAAAATTCTTTTGGTCAAACTGTGAGACAAGGTAATTTTTAATGCAGTAGCATCTTTTTGGTCGAGTTCCCACTTCACTGGTTCATTGTCTAGCTAACATGAAGCCTTGCATAAAGAGATGTTACAGACTTGTGGCACTTAGCTTACCATCATGTACATACTCTTCCTTAGTTATTGCATTAGTTAATGTCTGTGTTTCTCTAGCTTCTCGACACAGAACATGGAACTACAGGGGAAAGTTGACCAATTGAGTCTGTTATTTATGGCTTGATTCATTAGATTATCATTTATTGGGAAAATTTAAACAGGGAGCTGGTCATGGAGATATTATTTGGTCCTTGTAGGGGTAAGGCAAGGGGGTTTCAAATTCTCTTAGAGTGAAAACGAAGCATTTATTGTTATTTATATTTGCAATTGCAGTATTTCACTTAGTTTTCAAAATACAAATTAACTCAACAATTTTGTCCAAGACATGACTGCTCTGGTACAAATTTCATGTGCAATGTAGAGATTTTAGCTGGTGGTTTTTCTGAGTATTAGTCTGGCGCTTGCAAATTGTGTTGATATAAATAAAGACCATGATCAAGATTTGTGGTAATTTAGTGCTGATGGCATCAAACTGCTTCCTGAATACTATCTGATTGCAATCTTTTTCAGTTGGGAACAGTGAATCAAATGAAACTAGTCTATGCATCTATTCCCTCAACTCAAGGCTGAAGCATTTCTCTGATTGGCTCCTGGATATTATAGCTACCGGGGATTTAGATGCATTCTTCCCAGCAGCCACACGTGAGTATGCACCATTAGTTGAAGAAGTGTGGAAGGATCCAGCAATACAAGAAACCTATAAAAGAAAAGATGAGCTTCATTTTCTTCCAGATGTGTCAGAGTATTTCTTAAGCCGGGTAATTGCTCATCCCTGGAACTATCTCATTTGATTTTGTTATATATTAATTTGTTAGGTTTCTGGTAACCAAAAATTTCCATGAGCCATCAGTTTTTATTCTTGCCCATTTTTAATAATTTTTTAAGTTGTTCTGAGCCAACTTGTTGACTTTTTTTGTGTGTTCAATATTCACAATTTTTTTTTCCAGCAAGATAACTAAGTTGTGCAGTTTGGTGAAAATATTTCATTGGTTTTAGCTTAGCATTGCATGTATATCTCAATGTGATAGACCTGCTATTATGTTAGATTTGCTGGATTAGTGGAAAATGGAAGAGAGAACATTTATGTGTATAATTAGGTTGTGCATGGCAGGAGGAAAATGACATGTAGAATATTGATTAGATCACTTGTTATAGAAATTGTTGGTATCTAGATTTATAAATTATATCAGATATATAATGACAATGTGGGATGTATCACTTGTGTACAGTCTATCCAAAGAGTTGATTGTTGGTGGAGCACAACCGTTTAATGTGATTTATGTAACCAACCCCACTTATAATTAGTGGGATAAGGCTTGTTGTTATTGTTGATTAGATCACTTGCTCTTTGTTCTTTCAGGCCATTGAGATATCTAGCAATGAATACGAACCTTCTGAAAGAGACATCATTTATGCAGAAGGGGTTACTCAAGGTAATGGTTTAGCTTGCATAGAATTCTCACTTGATGACCGTAGCCCAATGTCTGAAGTTTACACGGAAAATATGGAAACTCAGCCACCGCCTCCAGCCAAGTAAGTTGTATTGGTGTTTTTTTTTTATATTTTTGATAACCTCATTCTAGTGTGGGATAACCTCTTTTGCCTTTCCACTCTTTTTGTGAGAGCATCAAGGGGAAAAAAAATAGATGATTCAAGAGTCATTCAGTGCAAGGAATGTTAAAAGACTGATACTTGCATCTAAAATTTTGGGCAACTTCTTTGTCTTTAGGTACCAATTAATAAGAGTAAATACCAAGGGAATGAATGAAGGATGTAAGTGGGTTGAAATGTTTGAAGATGTTCGAGCCGTGGTTTTCTGTGTTGCCCTGAGTGACTATGATCAGCTGTGGCTTGCCCCAGACAGTAATGGCAGTGGAAGCCTTCTGCAAAACAAGATGTTACAGAGCAAAGAGCTATTTGAGACAATGGTCAGACACCCTTGCTTCAAAGACTGCCCTTTTGTATTGATTCTGAACAAGTATGATATTTTTGAGGAAAAGGTAAATAGGGTTCCTCTATCTGCCTGTGAATGGTTCAATGACTATAGTCCTGTGAGTGCTCATCACACTAGCCAGTCTCTGGCACATCAGGCTTACTTCTATATTGCCATGAAATTCAAAGACCTTTATGCTTCCCTCACTGGCCGAAAGCTTTTCGTGTGGCAAGGCCGGGCAAGGGACCGTGTGACAGTCGATGAGGCTTTCAAGTACATTAGAGAGGTCCTAAAATGGGATGAGGAAAAAGAGGAGAATTACTATGGTCCACCTGAAGATTCATTTTACAGTACCACAGACATAAGCTCCTCTCCTTATATCAGACCAGAGTGATGTTCATGAGATGTATTATTTGCCATTGTTAAGGTAAAAGGAGCAAATGTAGCATGATGCCGGCTAGCTTGTATTTCTCTTCTCTGTATTCTTTTATCTCTTTTTGAAATGAAAGGTGTTTATGATCTTGGAAGATGTCTTTGAATGACCTTTTTACTGTTCAGCGTGAGGAGGCTCAGTAAATGGCTCTCATTCTTTTAGAAACTATAGAAAGGATGAAAGCTTTAATAAAGGTGTCACGCTGAATGGAGTAAAGCAAAATCAGAATCATAAAGTTAAAGCTTTTAACTGCAGTAATTATTTCATTTTTTGCAAGAGAACCTTTAATCCGCAGCTTAGTTTTTATATTAGCATATGAATTTTTAATCATTAAGAAAACATTATTGAAATTTTAAACTCAAATGAAATTATTAACCTTTAGTTAATATTTAAAACAAGCTTATTTGAAAATCAAATAATTGGACTGATACAACTGATGCAAAGTCTCAATATTGCCCTATTAGTGTCTTGCTATTAATTTTGACTATAATTATATATGGTTCTTGTGCCTTGTATGAAACAAATTGGTAAATAAATTATGTTGTTTTTGTATCTTATCTTGATGGGATTTTTTTTTTTTTTTAAAGGAACGGGGTCAAGTGTTAATTGCCTCTCGGACATCATAGCTTGCTGGATCCGCCCGAAAAAGCATGTAATCTCTGATTTCCCTTTTGTTATGAGGGGAAAGAGGAATAAGAATTATGTTTTAAAATTCATATATTAATTTGGGAAAAATTGGTGTGTCCTTATAATATACGACATTTTTTATTTGGTCCTTATACTTTATTATTTACAAAAATGGTACCCATAATTTACCTTAATTTTTAATTCGGACTTTATCTCTCTTTATAAAAGATATTCTCATGTTTTTAAATAATTTGGAGTAAAACCTTGTGCTGTTTATATATTAAATTTTATAATCTTATGTGTATACATGGCATGAACAAATTTGGATTCAGTAAGTGGTTTAGATACACTCACATTTTAGTCATTGCTGTTAAATTTTATCAATATTTAAAAATTATTAAAATATATATTTTTTTCAAAAATTTAAAACAATCATTGCAATCAAAACACTCCTTACTCATATAAATATTGTCCCCTTTACAAATTTAAGATTAGATATTTTTGGAGTATTATATAACAAAATCTAACAATCATTCGATTAAATCAAAACGTTGTTGTCATGTTACATAAAATATTTATTGAGTCACTCACCAGACCCAAATTCAACATAAACATGGTAAAATTTACAATCAAGCCCTCATTTCTATGTACACGGGTGACAATTTTAAATGACTGAGTGGGAAAACAGAAATGAAGAACTGAATCAGCGAAGGTTTCGCGGTGTAGTTAGTCATCACGTCAGTCTACCACAATGAAGGTCTATAGTTGGAATCTAGATGATGCCATTTCTTCACTTCTTTAGTGTTTTTTCATCACTCAAATCTTTGCAAGTTTGTTCTAATATGAATAAGAAACACTAGTATGCAGATTTTCAGTCTAGTTACACCAAGTAATTTTTAACACCAAGTTTTTATCAGCTGTCTGTTAATGTTTGTGTTTGGATAACATTGTAACTTAGGTTGGGATGGCTCCAACTTAAGTTAGGATGATAAAAGCCATTAAAATTTTGTTTGGATTAAAAAAAAAGTGAACGAGCGTTGGAAGAGAAACGGGCATTTTCAACAAAGCTGCTAGATGGAGCTTTCTGCCGAGCGTTGGTGAACGTTGGAAGTATTTTAATGTTTTATTAGTCTTCTCTCTCTACCCTCTTCATCAGTGACAGACTTTGCTCTGCCTTAGCCTTCATGAGTCTTCACGAGTCAGCTCTAAATGAAAATTGTGTTCACCATCGTTGTAGCCTTCTGATCTTTCGTCGGCTATGTTGCTCGCTACAATGTTTGAATTTGCAGGCTGTCGTCCCTTCTTTCTTCTTGCTTATGCTCGCCTACCACATTCCTCGCTTCATACCAGGCTCACATTGCTGCACTTTCGGCAACCTTCCTTCACATACTGACGCATCGTTGCCGCCACCAAATCTTCCACCATAGATTCCGGTGTCATCGCGGCCTGCATGGGCTCGAGGCTCCCTTGCATCGTCACTTTAAGCAGCAATTTTGGCGGTACTCGCGAAAGATCATCAAGCAACGTCACGGTAAGAGACTTCCATATGAGAAAATGTCCGGCACGATCCTAGGCCGATGGATTTGGGACGACGAGGTTGACGTCGTATTCACACCCTATAAGGATGACAACTTCTGGCCGTTCTGATGAGGCATGGTATGTGGAGGCAACGAAAAAAAAATACTTTATAATTTATAATATTTAATCCTTTTAATTGAATATTTTATAATTTATAAATTTATAACTTTTTATATTTAAATATTTTTTAAAGTCTACCTTTTCAAAAATTAATATTTTTTATTTATCATTTTATTTTATATTTTTAATCTATTTTTTAAAATTTATAATTTTAAATTTAATATTTTTTAAAAAATATTAACTTAGTCACAATATATATATTTATAAACTCATCTCTATTTTAATTATTATATATCTTAACTAACTTTTAAATCAAATCATCCAAACAAAATTTAATTTGTCCAACTGACTTTTAAAAAATAAGTATCCAAACATAAATTACGTTACATTCACTGACTTTTCTTCTAATTTCAATTTACTAACTTCAATTGAATCCTAACTTCAGTTATAAATTTTTTAATCCAAACACACACGTTGTATCACATCCTCTGCTTAGTTAGGCAAGGAGGTCAAGATAAGCACAAACTTGTGTAGCAACTTATCCATAATTTTTAAATAAAATGTAAATTGGTTTAGAAAACTAACCCATTGTATCATACACAACATCGAACTTTCCACAGATACCTTTAAAATTGGACTCTGTATAATATTGCAATTGGCAAGTAAGTCCTTGACTGCTTCCACAGTTCTACTTTTCAAGTGCTGCAAGTTGTCCTATCCTATCTTCGATGCACCAATAACAAGTTTGGCAAGCTGCCACAAACACAGATTGTATTAGACGCCAAATCATCACTTCACCCCATAATTTTCTATTTATCCAGAGATTTAGCACACTGGATGATGGAGGAATTCAAAATTCAAAATCTCTAATTTTGATATGGTCCCTGGGCAATTGAACTATCATGAACAATCGTATTAAAAAATAAATAAATAAATAAACAGAAGACCTAGTTAAAAATAAAGATGACTGTATAGATCAAAGATTGATTTGAGCTTATCATATCTAGCCAAAGATGTTTGCGGATAATTTAATTATCTTCGCTGAAGCTAACTTGAACCAAGCACAAGTGATTAACAAGTGCCAGGAGACATTCTGTGAAGCGTGAGGACGAGTTTTTTTTCTCCTAAAATATGAATCATAATGTGAGGGCCCAATCAAGCAGGCTTCATGTGGATAGATGACGTTGGGAGATATCTGATGTATTATTTGTTGGCTGCTCTTAAGAAGAAGAAATGAAGGAATGTTCCTTAACTCAAATGAAAGTAGCTCAACTTTGCTTTGATGAAGCTCGAGTAATTCTAAGTTGTCTGGGTCTCACCGAGAGTAAAATACAAGCCATGTGCCCTCGAAAATAAAGTGATCAGCTCGATACACTGCCCCTGAATCAGGATGGGAACAAAGCCAATAGGAATCACATCGACAAAGGTGTCGTGGTGTAGTTGGTTATCACGTCAGTCTAACACACTGAAGGTCTCCAGTTCAAGTCTGGGCGACGCCATTCCTTCATATTTTTTTGTCTCAAAACTAATTTTTCTGAATTTTAATTCGAGTGCTGCTTCCACAATGCAGTAAGTTTTCTTCACTTTTTCCGTCATGCGTGGGGCCCAGGTAATTGTCTTCCACGTGGCTGTCGTTATTTTATTTTACTCTCCCCTCCCCAACTCGCCGCTCCTCCATTTCCGACCTCGAATTCTTCCACGTCACCCACCACCCTCAACGTCCAGAACTCGACTTCAGAGTTGCTCACCCTCTTCGATCTTCGTCTCTGTTACCAATGCTGCAATGGCGGTGACAATGAAGCAGGTGGACGGGGTGAGCAACAGTAATAACTATACTGTAACAATAACAATGTGTGTGTGTGTGTGTCCCAGCTTTACCTCCTCTTTTCTTCCTCCCTGCCGTACGCCATGAAATGTGGTGTGTGTGTGTGTGTGTGTGTGTGGATCAATGGGGATGGACTGCTCTCTTCTATTTCTGCTGCTGCACTTTTGAACAAGGAACGGGTTTGGGTGGATGGTTGACTAAATGTTGAAGGAAATGTATTTCATTTTTTTTTTTTGGGGTTGCATCTCTATTATTAGTTGAAACTATTGTCTAATTTTTCCTTCGCTTAATCTGAATCATGTTAATAAATTAGGGGTTTTTAGCTGATTGATGAAACTGAGGATGAGTTAAGCCTTAAAGCTTTGTTGAGATATGGAAGTAGCTTGGATAGCGATTTTTCCATCTCATTCTTTTTTTTTTTTTTTTCCTCCTTTGGTTTTGCTCTTAAGTTCAAGTGGCACCTTTTATTCAATTCAGCGGCTGCGCTCGCAACTGAAAATCAGGCAAAAGCCATTTTCTTTGAGAGCACCGGTACCTCAAATTATTTCATGTAATATTTTTGTCTTTCAATTAATTACTTCGAAGCATCTATTACCTGACGTTAAGTATACACAAATTTCCACTAGAGATTATCCAGTGGGCCTCATTTTCTGTGACAGGTGGAAGAGAGAAAACAAGAACAGCTATTTCAAACCATAGCGCTAAGACTGTGAAGTGGTTCGACAGTGAAGCAGGAGCCCTTCCAATGTATTGGAACCTCATGCTTTAGAAATGAACCACGTTTTCCTAATAGCCCGTTTGGTTCGTTTCCCTGCATCAAGATTACAAGTAATCCTGATACATTCCCTCCATCTGTGGTATTTGGTTGGACAATGCTAAGTAATGAGGATTACATGATGACTTTAGGATTACCTCATATATTGTAATCAGGATTACGTCAATGGACTTACACAATGGGGATTTCATTGTTGTAAATGACACTTGTACCCTTGCTTCATCTTCATCTTTATCTTCATCAAAGTCGAATTCCACCTCCCTTCTACAGTGTCCACCGTCGTTGATGGAGCTATGGTTCCCTTTATTGTTGGTACTAGATCTGCACCAAACCCCCAACCCTGAACCTAGATCTGTGTCCTCCCCTTTATCTTCGACACTAGATTTGCACCAAATCCCCAATGCTGAACTAGATCTGTGTCCCGCCTCCACCCGCGATGAAACTTGTGATGATTAACTATGACGCAAGTGAGGGCAATGGCTACCTATTTGAATTGGTTATTTTCACTCTCGAAAGAAAAAAGGTTGAAAGAGCTTTCGTTTTTTATCCATTAAGAAGAGGAGTGAAGTGAAAGAAATGGGTGGAGAGCGAGAAGAGAAATGAATGGATGTCGGCAGGGAGGAAGAAGCAGGTGAGAGAGGGGAAGGCAATAAGGTTAATTTAGTCTTTTTCAATCTCTATTCATGTTAAATTAAATGTAAAAAATAAATTTATTTTTACTAAACTCATGTAAATATAATTTCATTCAATTCCATTCCTTACCTTTACATTCTATTACATTACAACCAATTCAATGAACCAAACAGGTGCTAACACTAACAAGTTCCATATTCATGCCCTTGTACTAGCACTCCAATGGCTCATTTCTCATGTTAATGAGTATGCATATCTTGAGCTATTTAAATTTTGTAAAAAGTTAGATAATAAAACGTCTTCTTACTATATTAAATACTTCTTTTGATCCTGTTTATAAGACACATTTTAAAAGGTTTATTTGATTCTATTTATAAGTTACGGTAGAACTTTTTATTTAATATTTAAAAAGTATTTTTAAAATTATTCTTCATAAGTGAAAAATAGTAACATGGTATTACTTTTTGGATTTGTTATAAATGGGTATATTTAGAATTTTATACACTTTTATTCCTTATATTTTTTTTGTATTGATATTAATAAAGTTAATAGACATGATTTATAAAGAAGACAGGAAGAGTATATGCTATTCAATTTCTAATTTAATCAAATACTTTTGTTTTGAGAGGTACACATGCCGCCTAATTATACAATCCATATTACAACCAATTCAATGAACCAAACAGGTGCTAACACTAACAAGTTCCATATTCATGCCCTTGTACTAGCACTCCAATGGCTCATTTCTCATGTTAATGAGTATGCATATCTTGAGCTATTTAAATTTTGTAAAAAGTTAGATAATAAAACGTCTTCTTACTATATTAAATACTTCTTTTGATCCTGTTTATAAGACACATTTTAAAAGGTTTATTTGATTCTATTTATAAGTTACGGTAGAACTTTTTATTTAATATTTAAAAAGTATTTTTAAAATTATTCTTCATAAGTGAAAAATAGTAACATGGTATTACTTTTTGGATTTGTTATAAATGGGTATATTTAGAATTTTATACACTTTTATTCCTTATATTTTTTTTGTATTGATATTAATAAAGTTAATAGACATGATTTATAAAGAAGACAGGAAGAGTATATGCTATTCAATTTCTAATTTAATCAAATACTTTTGTTTTGAGAGGTACACATGCCGCCTAATTATACAATCCAACGAACGTAGAAAAAAGTAGATTGCAAATTATTCTAGAATCATATACCCCATCGAGATTTTGATTTATATCAGCCAATCTCAATTACACGGCTGTAAGACTTAACACGTTACGGTCAATCATAGCAATGATAATTATCGTTTGATGAATTTTAAGGAACAAATAGCTATAATAGGATTAGTACAGAATAACCAATGAAAAAGACTTCTATTCAAAACATTGTCACTACATCATAATGAAAAGCTTCAAGGGATTTATGAAATTGTTTTTAGATACGGTCGACAAGAGCACGCACCTATTTTGGTGCAGGATGACTTATCATATATATTAATATAAAGCTTGATTTAAAATATAAGCGTGTCGGTGGTGAAGCAGCAACTCTAGAAAACCATGGCATCGATTATGCCGGAGATGATGTAATCACAATAGAATTGGAAATGAGAAGATGGCTATGTGCATGTGTACTACATGTTAGTGACATGGCAAACAGTAGCATTATTATCGTTGAGAAAAGAACAGACACAGGAGACATTATTTTTGTCCCCATAAACCGAATTAGGCATTCATTATCCATTTTCTTTGCCGCATAGATCTACCGTCAAAAGTCGTTACTTATGCAAGGGAATATCTCTCTGTTCAACTCTATTTTTGAGACATAAAATAGAGAAAGGCAGAGACCAGGTATACACCCAACTGTATCAGACTAAACGATAGGATTCACATATCATTCCCTGAAATTAATTCTTGTCAAAGGAAAATTGAGAAAGAAAGTGATTGATGACATACTCAAAAGTTCAAAAACTACCATAGTCGGCTCCATACTAGAAGAATAGTATGAAGAAAGGGAGAGTTTGATCGGTGGTTCCCATGGTTGTTGCAGCGTCGAGAGCAGCAGTTATGGGCACCTAAATTGATAATGTAGTCTATTATGGCCATGGCTTTCTTACTTCCTCCTGGTCTCATGGCTATCAGCTGCAACTGCTTTTCCTTTCTCAAATTCGCTCTAGTCCAGGACATCAATGGTGGTTGATATTTTCTTTGTGCTTTGAAAATATGAGCAAATAAATTAGAAGATGTGAAAATCGGGCCCACAAGACTTGCTTTAACCATAACATTAGAGTAACCTGTTAGATCTAACATTTGAGGGACTCAGGAAGGGTTCTAGCTATACAAGCGAGTGCACTACATGTCATAATTGGTTAACATTTTGAAAAGAGAGTAATGGCCCTATGATAAAGTGATATTAAAGTAAGACCTAAGTTTGCCCAGCCAGTGAGCTCCTCTGGCAGGTCACCTGTAACAAGGGTGTCACAGATTGGTCGGAGAAGCTATTAGGTCCCATATCGAAGGGAATTAAGATGGGTTCTAATTATATAAGCGAATGCGTTGCACATCTTAATGGGTCAACCTTTTGGGGAGAGAGTAAGACAAACCAACTGCCATGTGGCTAATCTTTTGACCCGCATAGTACTTACGACACTCTTCATTGAAAGATGTATAAAGAATGTGAGAGTTGTATTGTTTTAAAATTCAAAAATTGATTACAAATGAAGAAGAGTAAGGTATTTATTGACCTCCCCTTGATTTTAGAAAATTCCTACATCTTTAATAGATGATGGAAATTAAATCGATCTTACGGCTATCATTGATTTTCTAAATTTTTCTCCTAGATATTTACATGTGCTCTGAATTAATTATTTGAGGGGCGAAAATGCTGCACAAAATACTTTAAAATATTGAGTGCTCTTGAAAGAAAATATGAGGTGCAAAAATACACCTTTATCCTATTTAGAATTATGGGACGAGGTGTGCATGGAGAAGAAATAAGGGTCAAAGGTTAGATCATTCACAGTCATTCTATGTAATAGAAAAGATCATAAGAGAGGAGACAACCCATTTATGATTTTAGTTGAGAAGACAACCCATCCATGTCATCTTCACCATCAGCCACCATCGCTCAGAATCCTTCAGTATAACCATGAGAGAAAGGCAATAAGTGAAAAGTAGTATGATAAGTGCCACATCAGAGTGTTGAAGAGGGCTTAGATTATAGAGTGGATGCAAAATCAAAAGATAAGGAATCTCAAGCCATGATAGATAAGCAGAGAGAGAGAGAGAGAGAGAGAGAACAAACAGTACATCAATAAAAAGGTAATTTTACTCTTTTGAAAGATAGTTCACGGGGAATATTGTCCTACTTAACAATTTAGAGTAATTAACACTTCTTGAAAATAAATATAGAAAATAAAATTTAACATTAACTTTATTAAAAATAAAATATTAAGTATACGTTATGTTATTCACAGTTGAAAGTTTTTCAACCATAACATATTAAATTTTCATTTCCTCAATTTTTTTTCTCACACACACGTATATTGTTTACTTTTTTTTTCCCTTTTAAAACAAATGAATTTTCAAATTTTTCTACGGTTTAAATAATATAATGTAGAGTAGCTAATCATGTACTCAAAATTTTACAATCATCCACAAAGAACTTGACATTAATCTTTTTAATTTGAATAAAAATTCATATTACTAAAATAAGAGTAAAAGATTAAAAAAAACTATAAAAAAAGATCCAACTGCTTTGAATTTTTAGTTTATTCGGGTGTGTTAAACTCATCCAATTCAAAAAAATATACCCCTTCGTCCTTATATATAAATGTTTTTTAAAAATTTATTTTATTTATAAATATAAAAAGTGATGATGATATTTTTGAATAATTAAACAATTTTATCCATGTCTTAAAAAATAAAATAGATCATTAATTATATATTTTTTCCATTATCATGATGATATTATGATATTATTTAGAGTAAAACTAAAAAAACATTATATTTTTATATAAATTCAACTAAATAATAAACATTTATTGATGTGTAAAATTCAATTAAAAACACCTTATATACAGAGACAAAGAATAATCCCTAAAACGAGTCAAGAGGTCAATACAAACTACTGTTATATCCAAGCGGCCCTAAGTCAATGTAGATCTTAAAAACACCACATCCCACGCCCAAATTCATAAATCATGACACGAATCGAGTTGGATTTGTTTTGCCATGCGCTCTGTATTACGCATGATTTAGGCGTCAACAAATGATGAAATTTAACCCTTGACAAGCTTTCCACCGAGCTTCCTGACTGAGTTGAGGGTTATATAAACACATGTAAAGACGACAATAATGATTGCTTGGCACAAGCAAAATGCACTACAAAAAGTGGACAAGTCTGGTCGTATCCAAGGCAAATTCCGGATACATAGTCTATAAATAATCACTCTAAAGCGTGAAAACAGCCTGTTTCGAATTGATTTCACTGTCCCACTAGGCGAGAGCAACCAAAAAACCAACACTTCCTAAGCCAAGTACAAAAGGCTGCCCTTTCCGGGAAGTGTGTTCCAAGAGCAGCAGGAAGCACCAAACAAAACATATAAAGTCGGCTCTATTGTCCATTTGACCTGAAGTCTCTTCAATTTTTTTTTTTTTTTTTGCCGCCCTAGGATGTGTTCCGTTCTACTTAAATTGTTACAATGGGAAGAAAGCAAATCCAGATAATCATGACCCAATTAGATCGGGTGTTTCTGCCTCAATGGATAACAACGCGGTGTGCACTTTACCCATCCAACTGTCCAGCCGATCCCGTAAGGATTTGATCTGTGGAATTCCAAGAACTCTCGGCTGCACCCAAGTAATATGAACGGTGCCTTCTACTTGATCAATTATACCCTCTATCAGATGAACCTGCAATGAAATTCTAGCATTATTATCACAAAGGATTGAACAGACAAGCTCCTATTCAAATTCAGATGTAATTACTTT